TCTGTCCATGCCTTAGTCCCTCGGAATCTCATATTGCATCTTTTCTGAGAACTTTATCTTATCTAAGAACTCAGAGCAACTCACCTTGTTCCTTGAGTCTAGTCCATAGTGTGAGAGGTAGGTCTTTGTCCCTGTCCCTGAGGTACAGCAGGGACCCTGTTTGTTTAGAAACCCAAGGGGATTCTGAGATCATTCCTGTAGGAAGAACCCAGGAAAAGAGAGAGAGACAGAGAGAGAGAGAAAAAGAGAGAGAGAGAGACAGAGAGAGAGAGAGACAGAGAGAGAGAGAGACAGAGAGAGAGAGAGAGAGAGAGAGAGAGAGAGAGAGAGAGAGAGAGATATCAGCCAATTCTAATTCATCTGGCGGCTAAGGAAAAGAATCAGTGATTGCTTCTCAGTGTCACCAGAGAAGGAGCAGCCCTGTTCACAAACACACTGGACATCAGCGTCTGGACCAGCTCCTGGGACTGTGGTTCTCCGCTTATCTGCTGTCACTGAAAAGAGCAACTGAGCATTTCACCTGCTAGATCAGGGTGGGAAATGATTACCTTTAATCTTCTTCCTAGTTGAGAGCATCTTTGCTTTGCATCGTCAGATCCACATACAAACAGTTACAATCAGCTGCATCCGGCCAAGAAAACTTGCAACAGCTTCCAAAAGCAACTGCACGTGCTCTTCCCACAGATCACTATGCCTGGCTCCTCCCCTTCACTAGCAAAGGAACACATGTGCCCCATGCAATGAGTGTGGAATGTGTGTACATGTGTATTTCAAACTGGAACACAAGTGAATGTGTTTGCTGCCTAGAACAGGAAGATTCTTGGTATCTCTCATTCCACTTGGGAGTTTTCTGCTTATATTTCTTTTATTGGTAATGTTAGCAAGATATGAATACATTTATCTTATAATCCCTATTTTTTAATCCCTTTTTCCAAAATATACAGTGACCTGTGTCTCTGAATTCTCAGTTTTGGTCTTTTGTCTAGCCAAAAGCTAGGCCTGCATTTAAAGGGAGGGATAGACACTTACTTGGAATGGATGTCAACTAATTTGTTCCCTACTCGGATAAAATACTTCTTGCTTCAGTTTCTCAAATGCACATATTCTTTGAGAAGAGAATAAGAGGTTGGGTAGTTAAAATTGGAAATGTTGAGTTTGATTACCTTCCTTATTCTTATTGTCCTGGTTGAGAGCCTAAACCTTAATGGTTGAGAGTCCCAGCACCTCAGAATGGAGTGTGCAGTGGGAGATAATGCCCTAGTCTCACACCCTTTATTCACAGAAAGAATTCTGTTCCTTCAGTATGGCTTGGTAGAATCTAGTTGTGACCCTGGTGGTTATGGCAAAAGCAGGAATACAAAGGAACAGAGCTCCTTGTAGCTCAGGCATGCCTCCCAGGCCAGAAGGAACTGCTTCAGAAGTCCTTTGTCAAAGGACATTATGTCAGTTCAATAACTGTATAAATGTCAGAGAGAAAGTGACAAGCATAAGGTTTAGCATGAAATTGGAAATTCATCCTGTCACCTAAAGAGGCAAGGGCATGCAGCAATGCTTAGAAATATTGTCCAAAGACCCATCAGCAGGTGTCAAAGAAGACTGGCTGTGGTCTGGATGCCTGCAGACTGTGGGTTGTTGCAGTCAGCCTTTAAAAATGCCTGCAAATCTTTCTTTGCAGAAGCAAGGCTCAATACTCTGGAGGAGTTACAGTGCAGTACTGGCTTCTGCCTTGTGGGAAAGATCTTTTACCTGTATTCCAAAGAATGAGACAAAGCCTATGGTACAAGAGTTGGCCAGGTAAAAGTTTCTGGGGCATCCAAAGTCAGTTGGAGGCTGGGGTGTTCACCTGAGCCAAGCATTCCTTGCTTGTCTCCACCCGTTAAATATGCCCAGAAGTGCAGGTGGTATAGTTAGCTTGAGTTGATGGCTTCTCCATGTTAAAGTCTCTAGATTCTTTTTGTATGGGAGCACATACAAATTCCTACTCAACATCCACTTTATTCATTGCCTTTAAAAAAAAAATCTGTTTGTTTTCCTGAGAGATGCCAATTTGGCAACACAGTGCTGGCTGCCTCTCTTCTGATTCCAATCTTGGAGACTTTTATCCATAACCCAACAAAGCCCCAGGGCAGTTCTTTTCTGTTCCCACACTTGGTATAATTAGGTGAGTAGATTTGCTAAACCATATGATTTGAATAAAGCCTATTATTCCTCCTGTAAGAGCTTAGGATGAGGCCAACACAAATCAGAGCCAACTGTCCAGCCTGCCTCTCCCACTCTGACATCTCGTGGGAGAATGTAAATGAATAGAAAGAACAGAGAAAAGTGGATTCATTGAGAATTATGATGCCATTGCACTTGCTAGGATGGTGGCCAAATGGGGTCACTTTGGAACACAGTATAAATCACTTAGTGCCCTTCTGTCTTAGTAAACCACCCAGAACAGAGTTGGGAAGGGCTTCATATGCTCTTACTTTAAGCATAATACCTACTCAATAAATATATGTCTACACTGCTTTGTTATTTGAGCACTGATCTAGCACTCCTGTTTGCGATTCCTTACTTTTGCTTCATTTGTATACCTGGGAAAATCTGGTTTAATGTTCTATTTAAAAAAGGGTGGACTCCACTGTAATCTTGTTTACTTCTGTTGCTAAAAAGTTCTACATTGGTATGGCTATGTTCATAACTGAGGTCTCATTAAGAAGATATATTATTTTCCAACATAATTTGAAAAAGCTGTAGGTTATTCTTGCTATGTGTCATAGCCATGAATATCTTGATCCTATGGTCTATACCAGTGATGGTGAACCTTTTAGAGCTTTCATTGATAACAAATAGCCCACTCTGGCATGAATACCATAGGTTGGCCACTACTGGTCTATACTATAGTCCTGTTTTTTTCACTTAACATTGTTTCTTAAGTATTAGTAATATTGTTATATAATCACAATTCTTTTGGTTGCATAAGTCTACTGAATGGAAATGTCACAGCTTATTTATGCCTCTGTACTGGTCACTTTCAGTTTTCCATAATTACAAATAATTTTAAGTAGAAGAATTTCCAAATTTCCACCACAGTTTATACTATTTCCTTAAAATGGACTTTTAGGGATCTCTTATAAAGACACTGCATGGTTTTAAGCCAGGGCTTACAAGATTGCAATGTGCACACAGATCACTTATAGGATAATGTGAAGTACAGATTCTAACTGAGTAGATCTGCAGTGAACCCGAGAGTCTGCATTTATAACAAACTCCTGCAGGCTTCTCAGGCTGGGGCTTAGGATTTAGGCAGCCTATTAAAGTTGTAGGTGTACTGAGAGAGTATATGTAAGACGTATTTTACCACATCACTGGTTGGGCTGTTTACCTAGGAGCACTGATCCTACAGAAGTATTTTCTAATCAAGAGGAAAGTTTTGATTAGGATGGCATCCAGAGAAAATAAGGAGCTACACCACTTCACTTCAACAAAACCATCTAAAAAGTTCTACATTGGTATGGCTCACAGCCTTAGAATTACTTGGGGAGTTGCAGTACTCAGGTACCACGTGCATCTATTTACATGTGCATACGTGCCATCACTCCTAACCATCAGACAGAATGTCTGGCAATGGCATGTGTCTACCAGGAACCTTTAAAGCTTACTAGGTATTTAAAATGGCTCTGTGTCTAAACAGAGTGGAAAGCCATCGTTCTAAGCCCTCAGAGACCTACCTACAGCTCACTGAGCTACAACTGTGGATATTTTTCAGTATTAATTCTTCTTCCGTCATGTATTTTTATACATTTATTGGGTAGAGTATGATAATTTGATAGCTGTATACCATATGTAATGATCAAATCAGAGTAATTTACGTTTCCATCTCTTCAAACGTTTGTCATTTCTTTATGTTGGAAACATTTGTCTACTTTGGGTTAATTTGAAATACATGAAAAAGTATTGCAGACTATATAACTGTAGTGCTATAGAACATTGTAATTCTTCCTAGCTAATTATACTTCAGTACTGTCAATGAAGCTCTCTCTGTCCCCTCTCTTTCCACCCTTCCTAGCTTCTACTGATCACTATTGTACTCTCTTCTTTGAAATCAACTTTTAGCTTGTACATATGAGTGAGAATAGCCAGTATTTATCCTTTTGTGTCATGCTCATTTCACGTAACATGACATCCTCCAGTTTCCTTTGTGTTGCCACAAATGACTGGATGAAAAGCTTGTGGCTTACTTGTCTATATATTATAATATATAGCATCCCAAAAAATTGAGCAGGACACACACATAAGTAGGAAGAAAGGCAGAGATTTATTAAAGGAGCATATACTGCTCAGAGTGGTAGTGGGCTGATGAGAAAACTCAAGAGTGAGTTTGACTTAGAGTAGCTCCGTCTGTTTTAGATTTGAAGTTAAAGCACCTTGGGAGAGTTTCATACAAGCAGAGCTGAGAGGTGGCAACTGTGAGCTGTAAAAGTTTACCTTCAAGCACAAAGGGTGGGCAGAGCCAGAGATGGCAACTGCAATGAGTTTTTATATTGGCTTTTCTTTTGTTTTTCCAGAATTTGGGGAGTGGTCAGGGGTGGTTACTAACACATTTGGTCCGATTAACTGAAAATCTACACTGTCACGTCAGAGGGGAAGATTTTGACTAGCTGGGCCTAGGCAGGATCTGTAGGGCTGCCACAGGCCACTAGAAATCATAACTACAACCAGATGGTGTTATAATGACTGTGGGCTTATCCTCTGTTACTCTAAAGCAATTAGATTGCATGCATTTTGGGCTTCTGTCAGCTGTCAAAGAAATGTGATAAGGGCAGGAGTACATTTTTAAGGCTCATGTCAGATATTAAAGAAATACATTGAGTCCAGGATTCTCTTGTAGTCTCCAAGAGCCAGAGGTTTCCTGTCTATGGTGAGCCTAAAACCAGAGTGTCTCCCACAGTATCTCCTGTCCTACCTGCCACTTACCAACAGCTAGAGTAATGCCTGCTGTTTCTTTTTGGCAGTTGCCTTTTCAGGACTCGGTTTTACAACATTCTACTTGGCGGGCAAGCTGCACTGCTTCACGGAGAGTGGGCGGGGGAAGAGCTGGCGGCTCTGTGCTGCCATCTTGCCCCTGTACTGCGCCATGATGATCGCCCTGTCTCGCATGTGTGACTACAAGCATCACTGGCAAGGTGAGTCCTCCACAGCGAGCGCCTGCCCAGGGCCTGCCCACTGCTTACCGCGCTCAGCCTTCATCTCCAGGGACAGATGTAGAAATGCACTAAGTTCCCATTGTCAGAACACAGAACAGATGCAGTTTTGAAGCACATATACCTGCCTCAGTGAGCTCTAGCTTTCGTGTTGCCCTTTCTGGGAAAGAGTTGGAACTCTTCCTCCTCTTCTGTGTACTCAAGGAGATTTTGCTTGAGTCCTGCCATGATGTCAGGCCTTCCTTGTAAAGACATCCTGGGCCTCAGACCCAAATGTGATTTCCCTCCTGGATCACTTACCTCAATCTTCAGACTTGGTGCTGTGTTTTTATGTTTTGTTTTGTTTTTTGTTATTGTTGTTGTTGTTTTCTCATATTAAATCTGACCTATAAGGACTATGGATGCTGTTCCAATGGGTGTGTCCAGCCAGAGATCAATTCCAGCAATGTTTAAGTGTTAGCTGCAAGATTGGAATGAGGCTTACCTCTAGGTATCAGTCCAGTGATGTTTGTTAGAAATCTAAATCACACAAGTGAGGGACTTATTCCTGGACTGTAACTAAACCCGGCCGTGTCCCTCTGCAGATAAACTGCAGCTCACGGTCTGCCTGGAAGACAACTACTACCTACCACAGCAGCCAGGGAATAGAGTCAGAGGTGCCATCCACAGCAGATGTGGGCTCCAGGGATGTAAGACAGTATTTTCCAAAGGGCAGTCTCATTTGATCAGGCCGTCCTGAGTTAGGAATTGGACTCTGTGGGTGGGGGAATCTGGAAACTATACATCCTTTCTGGTGAGGTCTGAGAAGCATAGGTAAAGAGCTCCTCTGCATGTGTGTACTTTGAATAAATGAATGAGCCTGAATCTAGCTTGCCTGGATAAGAGGCCTTGCCCCGTCAGTCTGTGACCCAAGCCTCTTCTTCCTTTTCCTCTTCTCCTGCTGCCTCCAGGCCTTGCTTCTCTCTTCCCTCTTCCTGTCTCTGCACACGCAGCCTCATGGAATTGCCCCTTTTCACCTGCTCCAAAGGCTCATTCAGTGGTAGGGAAGCAGGAAACTGCATCAGAGGTGAGGGGAACTCCTTGTGGTGGCTGCCTTTCCCCTGTCTTCTGTAGCCTTCATGTATGTCCCAACACTGTCCCAGATTCTCTTACTCCCTCCCAGGAATAGGTCTGCCCGCAGCCTTCCTGGAGCTCAGGCCCTAGGTGTCAGGTCCCTGCAGTGCAGCTTTGTTTGCTGCAGGGTGTGGGGAAGAGATGCTGAAACATGGTTTGGATGAGTGAAATCATCAGACATCAAATGCTGATCAAGAACTGAGGCTTGCTGGGTAGTCAGGTGACTACCCTGTGGCCTGAGCCCTTCCTTGCTCTTTATTTTTAGCAATGACTCAGATGAAGCTCTGGATGATATGGAGCCATACTGTAGGGAGGAGGGAGTCACCGAGCCAATAGCAACAAGGGCATATGCCCACTGTGCTCTTGAAACCAGGAATATTTTCCCAGAGACTCATTGTTGCCCATATGCTCAGGGTATTTCCCCACGAAGAACAGTAGGTGCCAAATGGTCTTGTATGCGCTGTTTCCCACGTGCTCCTGTGAACAACATTTTCGTCTTTGAGCACAGGAACCATAATCCCTGAATATTTCATAGAACTATTTCAGAGGCTGATTGAAATAATGGACCCAAATGTACTTTGTAATTAAACATGCACTACATAAATGCAAATTGGTATTACTGTTGCTTAGCACATTGTCTCTAAGGAAGGATGGATTGTGTTTTTTAAATACCAGATTTGGTAGCAGCTATATTTTTGCAACATGATCTGTTGGTAAGCTGTGAATGCCGGGTTTTCAGTTTTATTCAACCACTTTGGATTTGGATAATGATGAAAAGTTGCAGAATTGAGTAGATTATTTTTTCCCTTTATCGCACAGGTGGGCAAGAGCCTTTGCATAATGATTTTGTATAAAATCTAAGACATGAAGTTGGCCTTTTCTGAACTTCCTCTGCCCCTGGATTGGTTGTCACTCATTACCTCTGTGGCTGAGGAAAGTGACCAGGGTGAAAGTTTTCAATTAGTAGTAATTACGCCTTGGATAAACCTCACTGGCTATGATACTGCTATTGAGCAAAGCTGACCGCAGTGAAAGAATGCAGAATTCCAACTCTTGGTTTTAGGGACTGGTAGATTCATAATGCAGCTGGTGTACCTAAGACCCGTGACAGTGAGGCTTCATAACCATTCTATCCAGTAGGCATGAAAACGGACTTTGAGCAACAGATAGAGACTATAAAATCCTGTGGCAAAAGCAGAGCAAGAGAATTATATTCAGTGATGTGAAGGGCCATATTTGGAGGAGAAGCCAAAATTATGTGTTGGAAGACTTCTGTAGCCCAAACTGAACATGCATCAGTTGGTACAGGTCATTGCTGTGGCCCAGACATCAGCTCAACTCTGCCATATTTTTTAATTTGTAACCCTGAAATCAGCCAGGTGAGGAACATGCCTTTCCTTGGGCTTTTTAATGGGCTCTGCATCAGACTCATTCATCTTAAGTTCCCTTCATCACTATTGTTGTCTGCCCCCATTGTCCTCACCTGGGGAGTGGAGAGTTTGACTGTACTGCAAGGGACATGCAGCAATGTCCAGAGACATCTTTTGGGTTGTCATAACTTTGGGGGATGGTGCTTTTGGCATCAAATCGGTAGAGGGCTGGAGGCTAAGGGACCAGACACCTTAAAATGCACAAATCAATCCCTCCTCCAACAGAGCTATCCAGCCCCAAATATCACTACTCTCTAGGTGGAAAAACCCTCATCTACATCATACTTCAGTTTCATCTTTCTATCCCTTGTCACTTTTTAAGAAGCAACAATGTTTTGAAACTGAAAAATCTTTTTAATTCAATACATTGTTATTGGAGAAATGATCAAAGAGGTCTTCAGTGATTCCAGCTTGTCAATGGAATGGACAGGAAGTCTTTTAACGACTGTGTAGGTGGATGTTTGCTGCAGGACACCTGACTGAGATAGATTATAGTTCTCCATCACTGGACTGAGCTGCCCACTGTTTGTGGGCAGGGGTCATCAGTCATGAGGAAAATCCACATGGAACACTACCGATATCAACAAAACCCTGGTCCCTCTTATTATAGACTTTAGTTAACAGCATTAGTATTATGAGATTTTATGAGTCCATTTCAATTTTAATTTAAGCAACTGTGCCTAATGTGGAAATGTATCTGATTACTCCATTACATATTCATATCCAGTAAATAGCCCATAATCTCAAACGGCTTGCTCTGTTAGTCTTCTATTATTTCTGTTGTTTCTGCCTTCCCAGTCCACTCCAAGCGTGCAAGTCTGTTGTTTTATGTGAGAAAGACAAGCACAGGCTTAGGTAAGGTCACATGAGGCATTTAGCAAAATTTCCTCAGAAACAGAGCAGCTGGATCAAGATTAAATCTGTGTGGCTGATGTTCTCCAAGTCTCCGTAACATCCTGACTTTTAGGTCACCTGAAAATGGGAGCTTCATAAGGGATGCTAGCTCATGGCTTTGTCCCCTGCAAAGGGGCCCATCTTTGTCATTAACAGGGTGTTCTGAGAGCTAAAACATGTGGAATTCCTATGCTAGAGAAAGTAAATATAGAGAAAGAGCAGACAGTATCGTTAAACCAGCCTGTTTTCACATGCTTGTGTGTTTATGGTTTATGTCCTGGGAAGAGTCACAGCTGGGAGTGACAGGAACATGTTTGCTTCACTGCTGGGCATATATTGAGCCTGTACCCCAGGTCTCTGCTCCTGGATTCATGCTCTTCCTGTGGGAATTCAGGTTGAGAGGGAATCATTTAACCAACACTGGTTTCTCTAATCATAGGTCATTTTGAGTAGCCGAGGTGCCTGTGTGGTGTTTCATTATGAGAGAGCAGCTACCTCTGAATGTAATCCAGCAATGCAAGTCAGGGAAGAGACATTCGTTCCCACTAAGACTGAGGTTGGAAAGCTTCCAAGTCAGCCTCAGGCACTGCTGTCTGTCTGGGTGGTTTTCATGATGGCCACATTTGGGTTTACCTGGCTTTTCTGCCTGTGCTACGAGGCGTGATTTGAAATAAACTTACATATGGTTACCAGACTTCAGTTGATTTTCAACCCTACAAATGTGTCTGGAGAGGCAGACACTGTGTTGGACTGTTGTGTGTGCCACAAAAGACTTCTAGCTTCAAAATAGCCAGGCAGGTGCTGTTCCCTTTGGAAAAACCCTTTCATCAAAGCCTGATGGCATTCTGCACTGCCCAGCTCTCCTTCCTTCTCCTCCTTGCCCTGCCCTCCCACCTTCCCTGTTCTCTCTTTCTCTCTCAGAGCTAAGAGAAACATGCTGTTAATCAGGCTTTCTCTGAGTTGTTGGTCTTCGGAAGCAATCTCTAGGTTAATTCTGAATTGGCTTGAAAGGAGCTCTTGGAATTGTATTATTGTTTCTGTCAAAAACCTACCAGCTTAGAGTAGAATGAAATCATTGAGGATTTTCCTCTCTTTCCTTGGTTCCAAGTGAATAATGGGATTCTCCTTTTCTCTGCAGAGCAGCTGCCCTGTAAGGCAGGGCCTATGCTCGCTTCTATCCAACTCTCCAACTCCTGGCCAGGCCTCTCTAAGCGTTCTACCCATGAGGTCCACCCATCTCTATCGGTATCCATGGCTCTCTTCAGGATGGTGTGAGTAGCCTGAAGCCCCAGGTCAGCGCTGTCTGATCAGAGCGCCCTAGAGGGGGACTTTGGCCCTCAGGAGCGCCTTTCTTAGTTGAGACTTCTGCTGTCCTCCCACCAGGTTTGCTTGCTGCTTATTTCCCTGGGAAGAAAGACCTTGATGGGGCCTGTCTCATGGACAACGTTGCTTCACTTTACTTGAGGGTTCCCTTCTTTTCTTAGCTTCCTGTAGTTTTTTTTTTTTTTTTTTTTTTCCTGTTTGAAATATTTCTAAAATCCAACT